TGGATGAATGGCAAAATTAACTTGGCCAATTAACAGCATGATAGAGACTAAATTGTATGCTTGCAGAAACGAGTGGTTTTTTGCATGTGTGCATAAGCGTGTGAAGTCACAGTTGCATCATGAACCTACTGAAACACAACTGTCAACTTTCAAGTATTTTGCGCGCTAAATGGCGGCATAATGACGTCTGTAGTCTCACCAATCACAAACAACCAGTTTCGCGGCAAATTAGTCGGAAGATTTGTGTGGATTTTGCTGGCATGCAGCAGTGGTTGTATCACGCTTATAGAAGTCTAAGCTAGATCCTTCACAATAGCCTCAGAATGCGGTGACTGCAGCCCTAGTTTGGTTCCCTCTGATTCACGCAACAAGTTACATGTTTTTTGTTCGTAAACTAGACAAACTGACGCAGTCTGCCCATTCTACCAAGTGAGACAGCTACTAAGTGGACGAGCTACTAAAACACCACTCAGTAAGTCACACTGTCAGGCTATACATGTTCGCAAACGAAGGACACCAAACTGGGACACCAAACTGCGGCACAGTGTCCGTCTCAATCTAACCCATTAATTATCTGTGGCGTACACCTTATGGGTAATACAGAGACTGACAATGAGGGTTTGATTTCAGCAGCTTCTCCAAATAACAGCACCTCTACAAATAACATAAAAGCAAAATTATTTAATTCACTTCAGGTGTGAGTGATTGGTCCATTGCATATATTCTGTAGTTCATCGTAAACACAAAAGTAAACAAGAACGATAATTGCCAGTTTGGGTATATTTTATTATGCATATGTACAGGTACAAAATCATAAACGACAAACCCATCAGTTAAAAAGTAGAGCAAGTGATTTAGCAAAAATAGTTGAATCAAGGGACTAGAATTATATTTCGTCGACGTCAGTGAAAGGAAAGAAGTGTCGCGAGATGTGCCTGCCAAACAGTCGAGGTAAATGAAAGGGCAACAGTGGCAGTCGTCGAGCCAACCAAAGCGGCCACAGATCGATAAGGGGAGACTGACCGCAACCCAAAGTGTACGGTCGCAACACGCATCCTGCCACGGGGTCGGACACAGCTGCTGGCGGAACACGAGACGCGCCCAGTGACGAATAGGTCTCAATTCGAGAGAACCAGGCAAGCCAATTGGACAGAAAGGCTGTCAGAGTGAGCAGTCGCAGATGAAATGGTCGCGGGTATGAGCGCTCCATCTCTTCCCCACCTTGGACATCTTGTCGTGGAATGAGGATGTGGTAAAAGGGAGAAAGTGCATCAACTGGGGTCATCCACAGAACACCAGTAAGGTGGGCTTTCGGTTCCACATAGTTTCGCATCAGATTTAGCAGCGGTGATAGTGGTGATAAAGCCTGCAATTTCAAACAGTGCACTCGCCGACAGAGACGCAAAATGAAGACAACAGGTTTGCGTTCGCTAAGTTTCGTAAACCAGTTAGCTGCATATTTTCAATTAGGTCCTTCAAGCTACACACCAACAGGATGGCAATGTCAACATGCACACCAAGCTGACTAAATTCTGAGTAGCACGGGGCAAAAGAAACCAAATAACGAGTTTAAGGATTTGTTTGCATTGACATCCACACTGCAAGCTACAGTTTTGGCATTAACTTGCAAAATTCTAGCGTGATAGATGTAGCGAGCGTGGAGATTACCTAAGGAATGACACAATACTTACCATGGGATCAAGAAGAATGAGATTTTGCATTTGGCGGTTTCGTTTACAAAAACTGTATACATCCAAAAGCAGACGCCCGACACTCGCTCGCAGTGGCAGGATCCGATTCTCACACACAGATACATCAACTTTCTGTTGTGGAGCGAATCGGAAAGGCCAACGTGTTTGACGGAAAAGCCATTGCCACTGTGGCTGCAATTTCATGTTTATTTGTCCCACACAGTTGAAGTAGTTATATGTGATATAGCCATTGTCCCCCAATCTATACCAATCCGGCTCTTCTCCTTCATATGTGTCTGAAGACCTCGATGACTGCGTGTCTTCAGGAACATTGACCTGCTCATGAGGCGTAACTTCCTCAACTTCAACTTTAGCAATGTCACTTTGCACTTCATCAGCACCATCAACATCACTTGTTCTGTAGTCTTCCAAAGTTGAATCTGCTTCTCCACTAGATTCCGACTTTTCCACATCCTGCTTCACTTCTACCTCATTCGCGTCCACCCGCTTCAGTGTCTCCGCCTCATTATTTTCTGCCATCTCTTTTACATTTTCTTCTTCATCTTTCACTTCTTCTTCATCAACTCTACATTCTTTGATAGTGTCAATATCCTCCACCTCAAAACTGGTGTTGAAGAGGAAAGCCATATCACGGCCACTTACACTGTTATCCATAGATGTGCGCCCAGACCAATTCCGTCGGCGTCGCTCACAAAA